ATAAATGCTCAGCGGAAGATTTATGTTATATATATAAGTCAGACGTAAAAAAAAAACGTTGGAGAACAAGGTGAAATTTCAATTCAAGTTGTTTGTTCCTGTGGCAGGATTCAACGCACACTAGATTAATGATACCGTTGTCAAGGGAACAACCCGTGTATAATCCAATGTTTCCAGGTCCAGCTCGCTCTCAGACACGACACATTCATTACCTCGCTCCAGATTGGCTCCCCATTCAAGCAAACTGTGCAGTAAAAGTCGTAACCTCGCCGCGATAAATTATACAAACATTTACCCAAAGAAATATTCCATCAACGAACTTCCTCTTTTTTGCAAAAAAAATAAAATAAAATATTTTTCTTCCTTTCCACTATAGAGAGAGAAAGAGAGAATATTTACGCAACCATTGATTACTCAACATTCTTGCGGCGCAAGAGAATAAAGGCCGCGAAGCGCGAGAAAAATAATAATATCAGTAAAAAAAAAAATATTGCCTCGGATAAAAGTTTTCTCGTAACCTTGACCCCGCCAAGCATCGCAAAGAGCTATAGCTCGGAAGTAATTTACTCGTTCGATGTCGATCTCTCTCTTTTTTTTATCTTCGTCTCTAGCTGTATAACTATATATAGAAATATACATATATATTTCTCTATCTCTTTTATATATATATATATATATATATATATATAAATATAAAGAGAATAGTAGGGAGTATTCAAAGCTTATACAGAACCCGGGAAACAAGCGAGTGAAAATTTATGACTCGACCACACGTTACGTTCTCTGCAATAGGAGGAAGCAATGAACCACATAACGAGAAGCTCACGTGACGTCAGGACGTACAAAATGTATTCCAATAAAACAACAACAACAACGGGCCAATTGAACCAAGTCGTCCATTAATCCGGTTCTTCGTGTCCTCTGGGACAGATGATCCACCTCGTCGATCTCACGATCCCATAGGATCGAACTGGTTTCTCCGATTACTCACACACACACATTTTCTCCTCACAAACATTCGCTTCGGGAGTAAGCAACAAAGAAGAAAAAAAAGGAATTTGAAAAAAAAATTCCAGATCCCGGACAGTGTTGAGTCCGCAAAGGTTCAATCAGTGCGAGAAGAGGGAGAGCGAAGAACTGTTGGAAAGCAGGTATCTTGTTGCTACACCCGATCATTAGAGAGAAGTATCTCTCTCTCTCTTGCTGTGATTTTCTTTTTTTCTTGCATTGCATTCGTCTCATCGTGCACGGATTACAGAAGCAATACTATACACAAAAAAAAGGTTCTCTGCCTTTGGGGGTTGAACAAAACACGATTTTTGGTTTTGTTTTCGAACGTTTGGGAGTTAAGAATAAAAATTCTCTTCTTTTTTCATAGAAAAAAACTCAATTAAAAACGTTTACCAAAAAACAATTGCTTGAAAATTATTATCAGATGCTAATTCAATTGGTTAAAAATTATCATATCTATTCGAATTGCTATTGATTGTAACTATTATAGCGTCAAAAACACATATTTTCATGCTCCTGCTTTAAAATTTTCAGCGCCACTGATTTGGGTTGAGTTTAAACTTGTCTAAAGTATCCGAAAAGTGGCACCTTTTGAGTAATATTTCGAGAGGGGCAGTTGTTTCAAATATACTCTCGCGTCGTTCAACTGTTATTGGTGCTATTGTATACGCGATTACGACGCTGCTAACTATTAAGACCATTTTGTGCTTTTAAGAGCACTAGGTTACATTATTACTTGGAAGGTTTACAAAACGCTTCCCCAGAAGTGGCAAGTTACGATCTCCTGGAACGCAATATAACCTGAGTCGTTAATCTTTAACATTTCATTCAAACATATATGGACGTCAATGCTCACTAATAATCACAATTTTACTTTCTATATTGTATCATATAAACATAATGCACTTGTTTCATAATAAAAATTATAATTTTTTTCCCCAATAATTATAAACAGCATATTACGATAAAGGTGCTATTAAAAACATCAACGTTTACTATATAATCTAACATTATCCCTAGAATAGTTTAAAATATAAAATACATGCACTACATCAAGGTAAAAGACTCCTCTAGAAAACATTAAATATTAACAGTATATACAATGGGAAGAATATTCTCTTCTAGTTGAAAGATAGTTTTTTTTATTTTAGATTCTGACTGAAAATTGATTCAATATTCCATAAAATAATTAAAATATTTTCTAGAATAGAAAAATATTTTTAAAACAATATGAGTGGAATAAGAATTATAATACGCGATAGTAGCAAATAATTAAATCAACTTTGAACCAAAATTATTGCACGTAAATTTTCAATTCGATGATTTAATTTCCGTCTATCATTATTATTCCACAAATAAACCACACAAAAATATTATTTTTACCAATAAGATGAATGAGATGAATAAATACGGAACTCAACGCTCGTATATTTGCAAATTCATGAGAATAAAACTAATAAACGTTTGAATACCTCGCATCTCTCATGTAAACTAAGATGGTTTCGTCGAAACTAAATACCATCGACACAGGGGGTCATTATATTATCGAGTTTTGAACCTGTCGACTTATTTCCCCTTCGTCTAGCGTTAGTATATGTTTTAAGTATGTGTGTATATATATATATATATGTTTCTCGTTTAGAATAGATATTATTCCCCTCTCTTTTCCCTTCACTCCACAAGTTGGTCGATAGAGCTCCTGTGGGTCAGGTTATTTCAGTGTAAAAACTTTAGCCTCATAAGAAGTCAAATGTATTCCCTGACACGCTAGGCGAGGCAACGAATTCGCTTCCGGAATTATGGCATTGGTCGTTTACGGTCACTGACTGCGATATTGCTTTCCGATAGGCATTCGAATATTCGAGAAGCTGTGATTATTCAATGAGAATTCAATGTATTTTAAAGCCGCATACTGACTAAACGTTTATTCTTCTTCATGAATTTTTCAACTTGTATAAGCGGAAATATTTATACTATATTTTTAAGAACGACACATTTTTTTTTAAATTATGTTATTCCAATTTCATGAAACTACTATTGTTTGCAACTAGTATCATTATAAATGTAATAGTATAATGCAAACAAAATTAGAAATTCTAGATTCGCTATTTGGAAGTATAATAATTGGAATTGCTATTTTTCGATAGGCGTTTAAATTCACTGATAAGAATCATTAAATGGAATGACCATAAACTGGAATTGCTATTAACTGAAATTGCTATTAAATTGAAGAACCCACAACTGAAACCACGATTAACTATAGTGTAACTATGTATATATATATTACCAAAATTAGCATATCTATATCATTAATTGGAACCCTGATTTTAACAAAAAATGGAAAAGTGCTTTTGCATAAATATTAATAAATAATAGTACCGTCAACCCAATTTTTACCATCAGTTACAACAAACTAAATCCATTCTGATACTATCAGAAAAACAGATTTAAATCCACAGCGTTACAAGCAGCAGTCATGAATCCAAGCAAAGCAAAATGATTTGTCTAGAGGTAAATCGTGGTAGTATATGTTAGAGTGAGAGATGACTCCTGAGATTAGTTCCACTATATATACTCAAGAGATGTATCTGTACCTATAGTTCATCAGTGCGAACAGGTTAAGCACATGCTAAGTGCTTGAAGCACAGTGGTCGAGTTATTTATAGCCTAATACGGTGGTTTCGGGTCGTTGCTATTCATTCTAGTCTACGTCGGTGGCAGCGACCCGTAATAGTTTGATTGCTTAGGCAAGCCACGTATATCGCGAGCAATAATCGGACGGAAGTTAGGAGTGACTCGCAGCTGGCGTCCGGAAACACACCCATTCACTCTTACACGCCTTCTCTCAAGCATACAGATATACCAAACCATCTCTCTCTCTCTCTCTCTTTCTCTCTCACTCTCCCACTCCCGCTTCCTTGTACGAGAATACTGCGAATACTTGGTAGTCACGCGAGACCGATCAAACAAAGAGACTTTGAAGGCCAAGAGCCTTAAGGCACACCATGCAAGAAATGCCAAACGCAGCTGCTTCAACGGTCATTGCATTGCTGATATCACAGGTACAAATCGTGATTTCGTGATATTAAAAGCACGTATATCGTAAGGTGGGATTCGTGATTTTAGAAGCACGCACATTCTCTAACATCGTTGCAATGCAATTTGCGATATTAGAATGCTATATGTGTAATTAAAGCGATTATAAAGTAAAAGAAAAAAATTCTTTAAATCAGCTTAATCAAGTATTTAGTCTTATAAACCGGAAAGGACTGCTTTGGCTCATACGTGTCTGGCTCTTAATTCACTAATTGTAGTGCTATTTAACTTATTGTCGCCCGAGTACCGTTCCGAGAATCTCATAAAGAGCTTCACACCAGTTATAAAATAATAACGAATTTATAATTGAAGCAAAAGAAGAATTTATAATTTTATTTATCGAAAGAAACTCTTGTAGAGTGGAATCCTAATTAAATAAAAATGCAAATGCTTTAAAAAATAATTCCCCTTTTCGTACATAATTTTGTTATAGAAAATCGATTCTAAAATATATCGGATATATATTTCGGATAACTATATACACACATAGGGATGCTTTGCTGTTTATCAATATTTTGAAATTTTGGCATACAAATTCCATGACATACTAAAAACTGTTGAGGAAGATATTTACCCAATGAGGTAAAGTGCAAAACACTGAAAAAGTCTTGCTGCTGCATCAGGCTTGGGCACTCAGAGCACCCAAATTGGGAAACAACCACACATTGAAGTTGCGCAGAACCTTTTTATTTGGTGCTTTTCATGCATGCGTTGGGAAGTCTGATCGCCCAAAACTTTTTCAGTGTAGTCTATCTAGGTTTTAAGAGAACTCTCCCAATTTTAACTGAGCTGTGAAACTAACGTCGAGTGTCGCTCCTCTATTGTCAATGACGCATCCGTCCACTCAACAGTTTTTTCGTGTATTTAAAAGAAATGAAAAAATTTGGACTTACCGAAGCATTCTCTCGTGTCGATCCCTCTCCAGAAGTTCCTCGGGGCTTGGCTGCGACGGTGCAAGAAGAGCATGGGGAAGTGGCGGTGGATATCTGGGTGGTCGCCAAAGCATCTCGGTCGCGACAACTGGATGATGATGACCAGGAGGCGCAGAACTTTGATAACCGAGCGGTGGAACTGTGGAAGACGTGGAGCTGGCCGCGGGATTTGGTGGACCTTGGGGATGGGCCATCAGGAGAGAAGTGTGCTGAACGCTTTGAACGTGCCAAACCCTTGCCGGTGTAGCGGCAGGCGCCGTTTCCTCGGCGCTAAGGGCAGAACTACGGCTACCGCTTCTCTCGTCACCGGAACCGGCACTCCTTAGGGAGCTTACCCCACTGTCAGAACCACTGTCTCCGTAGGTGGTAGTACGTAACGTTCCAGCGGCAGGGACGCCACCGAGAACGCCTCCGCCTGGTATACCAACTCCGGCCCCGGCCTCCACCTCCATGAGGCCGGCCTCATCGCCTCCCTGCGATGGTAGCGACTGCTGTTGTACCTCTAGGAGGCTGGCCGAGGTCAAATGATGATGATGAGGACTTCCAGGTATTTGTAAATGTTGCTGATGTATCACAGGACTGCCAGTTGAGAAACGATGTTGATGATGTAGCGATTGATGATGATGGTACTGTAAATGATGACTCGAAATTGGTGGCGGTGGTTTATTTAATCTTTCAGCTAAAATGACAGGGCTTTCGTTGTGACGACTGCGTTCCTGCTCCTCCAGGAGCAGGCTTTGCCGCCCACGGCCGCCTGGCAACGGACTCAGTCTCTCCAGCACGGAGCTTGAGTCCTGACTACTGGACTCGAGCAACTCAACGGACTCAACACTTGCCGCTCTGGCACTACTACCTAAACCACTATCCTCAGTAGCGTCAACACTTGAATCCGGCCTTCCTGGTGCACTAGATTCTCGCGATTTTTCCTTCTCTTCTTCGTCGTCTTCCTTTCTCTCTTCCTCTTTTTTCGACGATTTTGTACAATTTATAGGTGACGTACACCCGAGGCGTTTATTTTCGTCAGAGGTAACTTCATCCGACTTTAAACCATTTGCCAATCTTTCCTCAAGAGCCCGCGTCGATGATTCTGTATCTGGATCAGATTTTACCGTCAAATTTGTATCTCTACCAGAGTCAAGGTTATTTGTAGGTGGCGGTTCTGGTTCCCGATCACGTTCTCTGGATTGACTCTCCTCGTTTTCAACACGCTCACCGTCACAGACGACTTCCTTTTTCAATTGCTTGAAATGTTCTTTTTCATCAACTGGATCTTGAATTTCCCGTTCAAAATCCTTTTTCTCGGATCTTGTTGTCTTACGTAGTGTAGGATTTGCTTTGAGCCTTTTTATCAAGGGATCACAACATTCATCCTCTTCGTCACGATCCTCCTTCTCTACCTCACCTTCGTCATCAGACCTACATTCGAGACGTTCTTTCTTATCGTCTTTAACTAACAGCTGTTGTTTCTCCGACTCGTATTCCCCACTGAGCTTTAGTTCGCCACCTGGCCGTGGTTTTTTTCTCACTGGTCTTTGTGAAAGACTTTCCACTGGACTCTTTACTGTTGTTCCACGACGTCGTAATTTCGATAAACTACCAGGCGCTGGATTTGCCTCTTCCAAAACAGTTCTTGGCGTTCTATTTCCTGGTCTTCCTGCAGAAGGTCCCTTATTTTCCCGATCTTCTTGTCCCACTGACAGAGCCTCCTCTGAATCAACTTGAGTTCTTTCGCCTTTCTCACGACTGGCACTTTCACTATTGCGCCTTCGACGATTACCGCGTGTATTACCTTTATCTGAAACAAGTAAAAAAAATAGAAAACGTGAGTGATAATTTGATATATTTTTTTCAAATACTTATTCTTAATTGCGTTCTAATCGCTACATTGTCAATAAACGATTGTTATTGACATATAAAAGGAGAATGTGATAAGACATTTTTATTGATATGGATCAAAAGACAAATAAACGTTTGTAAAAATATATTGTTAAAATCAATTTTCTTGGTTATTTTGAAGAGTATATGTATCCTTACTGAATGTTCAATATAATAATTGATGTTGGGGAATGCATTATTACAGAATATACGAGACACATGATATTACGTTGTTCATTACAGGCAATCAATTTAGTCAGCTGGCAGGCGTGATGTAACGACTATCGGAACGTATTAGGAACTTGGTTTACGAGGCTAATCCTTCTGATACCCGCAGCTAGTGAATCACTACCAGTTCACTTCCATCCACATTCTCCTCCTCTTCTCTCCTCACGCTTGTTATATGCGGGCAGCCACGCTGTTTCATTCGCAGCGGGAATTCCTTTATATATATATATATATATATATACATTATTTCACAAACTAATAATAGGACAAAATTCAGAGCAAGAGCCAAAACAATTTAATGATCTCAATCAACTCATTTACATTTACGTTTCAAGTTCAATATATTCTATAAATACTTTTAAAACCTATTCTTTAAAATGTCTCGTATGTCTCATAAATTTTTCTAATTCCTCTATTCTTAAATAGCGCTAAAATTTTCAAATATTAAAATCAGAATTCAAATAGGAATATATTAAATGGATCAAATTAATCAGCATCAAATATGATATTCTAATTATAATATAAAATCAAATACAGTATCAATAAATGGTATCATTTATCTAATGAGAATAATCTGGGAATGATTTCCAGATCCTCGCGAAGCGGTTCAAGAGTACTTGTAGAATGGAGTCTGCAGTGAAGTATGTGGCTAACTCAGCAGTACGTGGAACATGGCCGGAGCATGGGAATAATTTACAATACACGCGCGGAGGTTGGAGAAGCATATAGCAAGAGGGAGGCTGTAAGTGAGATCGAGTGAGTAAAGGAGAAAGAGAGTGAGAGAGAAGAGGGATTTATTGCTCAGGATTTACTGTTATTACCCAGAGGGGCAGAGCCAACTCTCGGTGCCACTCCAACGACTAACACCGTTGCATATATGCGGGGGTACATTTCCTCTTCGCATGCCTCGATACCCGACACATGTTTATCCCGTGTATATAAATGTTGTTATGTGCCTGACAGAGAAGAGTAACTTTATATACGCACAAAGTGGACATGAGAGCCCTTTTGGGACTCAATTCGCATCTATATAATTCTAAATTGTTCTTCTATCATCTCGTGCACAGTGATTTGGTGTGGTGGCTAAATCAAATTGATGATGATCAATAAATTTATTGCTCACAATAGGTAAGTGAATATATGTTTTCAGGAAAAATAGTAAAATAAAATTTCACTTTATATATAATATATATATGAATCTAAATGTTATTTTTCAATAAAATATTATGCTTCATTTGTTCTCTCAGTATTTAAAAAGTGAAAAATCAACAGTTATAAATTTATCGTTAATCGCTAATCGTTAATGTGGTTGTCTTATGCAGGCCATCAAGATTCTTAGCTTGGTGCGAGTTTGCGGTTTAACGTGCCAGTCAGGTCATTTTAAAACTTTCTTCAAACCGTTATGTTACGCAAACAACGACAGTAGTAGTGTAATTGAAAATCAAAAGACGATCTAAATGTTAACTATATCACGATATATTCTATTATATAGTTTAAAAGAAATTCAATTATGAAGTTCAAAAAATAGTGAATTACTCGTTCTGAAAAATAATTAATGAAAAAATTAAAGAAATAAATAAAATCAGGGAAACAGGATTTAAGAAAAAAATAAAACTAAAAAGAAGAACTAAAAATTTGGTGAAAATACTCTAAAATGAAGTTATACAGTATTAACTGAATGGACCCTCGCTTTGATGAATTCCATCACAGAATGTGCCAAGGAGTAAAGAGGATTTAACGTGACCATCGTTGCGTTGAATATCGAATGACGGATTATGCAACACTGCTCACGTTCGGGGAATTCACAAAATATTGGCATGGCAATATATAAGGTTTCCGTTTTCCCTTTAATGAATTTCAAATCCAATCACAATTTCCATTAAACTGTTTTCGCTTTAAATTAATTTTCCACTTATTGCATTCAAGTATCATTTGTATTTTCATCAAAATTACTTGTATATATCATAAACAAATCATGAATATAAATGTAGAAAGGTAATTTTTTTCTATTTTTACTAACAAAAAACAACTCCTTTAAATAATAAATATTTTATAAACTTTAATTTTAAAAATATCTATTAAAAGAACAAAATTTTTTCTATTATATCGTAATATTTTTATTTTTATTCCTCCATTTTTACTGCACTATTTATCTTTATTTACATTTGCTATCCGTAATTTCATGAAATTATATCTTCTTTTTTTTAAATAGAGACTATTTCTCCCTCTATTTTCAACGAAGTATTAAAAAAGAAATTTGTTTACGTCCGGCTATAAAAAAAACGAGTTTTTTTTTTTTGTTCACTTTACAACTCTTTGTCATCGAAAATTCGTGCCATTTATGTCTTCGCGTGCACTCATCCAACATTTTTATCTCTCCATAATAGGAAAGAAACAAATAATGCAAACTATTTCTCGAATGACTCAACAAATGAAGTCACGTTCGTTCCGATTTCGAAGCGAAATATATATATATATATATATATACTTTGGAGAACGATAAAGGAATAAAACTCAACTTTTTGTTCCAGACAAAAATCTATATTCAGAGAAGAATACATATAGAAACACAGACAACTGTTGTTGAGTGACCTTTAACCCTTTTATGAACCCTTGTTGCTCTACGAAACTAATATTAAGTCTCAAGTGTATATTCGGGGGCGGTTCCTACTTTATCCCCTTTTATGCGGTTAATGACCGACCCGCCAAACTGATGCTTGGATTTTCGAATACCCACTTAAAATTCTCTTTTATTTGCCATTTCGCTAAAATGTTCATTGCTCCTAAATATTTTAATGAGTTTCATTAACATTCATGTAAACTAAAAGCTTGTCACACAAAATTAAAGAGTCTTTTGAAATCCATTTGTTCTGTTAAAATATATATGTGGATATCTTTAACTGCTCTCATAAATTTAAATTAATATTATAAAAAGTTGTTCATTAATTTAAATTAGTGAAAAATTTTATTGACATTTTATTATGAATATGTTGTTAAATTATAATTAAAAAACCAATTAATTTATATTTAGAGAAAATAATTTGATTTAAATTGTATGAAATTTTTGAAACACAAAAAAAAAGAAAACAATTATTTCGTTATTTTTTTTTTCCTCTCGTCAATATGAAACTGTCGATGTATGGAACATAAAAAATAGAGGTAAATGTTTGTGAAGAGGCAATCTATTGTAAAAAAAAAAATCCGTTCAAAGAACGTGTCAATAGCAAATTTCTACCTATGATAGCCGGTGTATTTTGTTGAACGGTTGAAATGGCAATACATCTGCATGAACCTCCGGGGCGCCAGGGGAGAGAAAAAATAAAAGAGGAAAAGAGAGAAAGTGAAAACTACAATTCCTCGCATTAATGCTGTAATGTATGTCACAGGGGTGAATATTGTGATGCAGTGTAGGCCGAGAAAATACATATACATATAATAGGGTGGGGCAAAAGAAGAAAGGGCAGACGATGGTTTGAGGGTGGCGAAGGGAGCAAGTTCAGACCGGAAGATAACCGAGGGGTAGAATTTGACAAAGGGTTTAAATGCCAATGGGAGCACGCCATGCTATGTTTCCCTTCGACGACTCAACGACCCTTCAGAATACTAAGTCTGCAACCATTGCAATATATATATATGTATGTGTGTGTACAACTATGAACGCGAATTCTATTTCTAAAGAATACATTAGCCATTAATCAAAATTTGATCTCTTTTGATCGGAAAAGTGGTGAGCTTCAAAAATAATCTTCATTATCATATATAAATCTTCACGGGAGATTATCCGGTTGAAATAATTGTTAATTAATCATGAATTAATTATTTATCAGACGATCAGAGTTTAGTCTGCGGTATATCGTGAATTTTAATAGTTTGCAAATTTAGAATATATTTGAAAAACTAAGAAATTTTAATGAATGGCATATAGTTTAAAACGAAAATTGCAAAATTTATAACTATATATATATACAAACATTTTGTAAATAGTAAAGATTGTTTTGACAGAATAGAACACGCAATCCTTTGTATCCATGTATGATAAAATGAACATTTTAATAAATTCTTGATCAACACTTGAAAACATGATCACATATTTGCACAGTTCAACAACGTGATAATATCTCTCATCTATATATCCAGATATGTATATAAGCGTTATTATGTACATCTTGTTTACAGTATTCTCAGATAATAGATACGATGACTTACATTTTAATAATAGAATAATCAGTTAAACTAGAAAATTGATATACGTCAATTGAAATTCAATTTAGTTTTTCTTTTTTTCATTGTTATATTATCGTAAATAATGGAATTTATTTCATTCGATTATATTTATTGGAAAAATATTTTAATATGTCTTGTGTTAAAAGCGACACGCAGGAAAAACAATTGATTTAACTGCTAAACCATTTCTTGTTCGCCGATAAGATAATACAACAATAAAATAAAAAATAATTCATGAAAATTTCATTTCTATTTAAGATTCTCATTTATAATATTATTTTGTTTAAGAGATGTAGATTTTTAACGATTATTTATACGAGAGATCAAAATTTTGAAATGTATTTTAATAATATAAATTTTACATAGTATTTAACTTTATTAATAGAGTTGCTCACTGGTTTAAATATATATGCATATTATATTGGAGCGTCTAGATTCTAGAAGTTGCACCCGTTCCGGGTAGTTAGT